TACGTTGTATGTATGTATGTATTTATATGAATATATTTATATATGTACGCATATGTATATATACGTATGTATGTATGTATGTATGTAGTTATGGAATATTTTTGAAGTATGATTTATGCCTAATACTGCGCGTAAATGTGTCTATGTGTCTGAACCGAAATTTAATCTTGTATGTATTTACTGTCCTCACTCTCTTCAATTTGCAATCACCACGATTATAGAGCCCTTCCGGCGAAGAAGACTCTTGACTACTTCCCACGTTACCTGATACCATACGCCAGAGTTAAATGCTTGGTATGGGTTGTAGATTAGCTCAATTGCATGAAATCGTTTAGGGCTATTCCCGGTTTCCTGAGGCACACGGCCATGAATCACAAGTGCTATCAGATTTTTCGCGGTTATTCTGGGGTCTAGATCGAACTGTACCATCGCACCGATTTCACTCTCAACAAGCTGTATATCGTCATCTAAGACATCGCGGGTGACTAATGAATCCCAGTTGGATGTTTTGTTCTTTTTCTTACCCAAACTATACCAATCTCTCAGTACAGCTCAATACAAACTCGATATTACGCTCATTTTCCGTGGTGTTTACATACAAATAATGTATTGTACGCGTGTGTGTTTACTATAGTGATTACTATATTAATGATGGTGTCATGACAGAATTTTCACGGAAGGGGTCAATAATGGGTGTAGGTGGCGACTGTAGGTGACTCTTACAATGGTGGCCAATTTAGGGGGCTCGAACTGTGGGTGGCGGTTTAGGTGGCTTTTACAGGGGTGGCATCAAGATTTGTCTACAATTTGTGTATTTTTAAAAAAAATATATTAATTTATCAACTGACAAATCTCAGAGTCGGGACTTTTACTCACAAGTAGAGACTCCTTTTCTACCAGCTGTAGGCATGTCGGGTAGTACGACTTCGGCCACCAGTAGAATTCTTTGGTCAAAAAATAAATAAAAAAGCAGTGGAGCCTGAGGCCGCCCTGAGCGTGCAGGCGCGCAATAGAGTACTAAAGAGTAGGACTGTAACAATTGTCGGTTCTCAGGCTCTCAGCCTTACACTGTCACAGCTGTGCACGACAGCTGTGCAGTGCACCTTGCGGCTTGCAGTCTACACAGTGTATTCTCGCAGTTAGCCGTCAGCAGTTCAACCACCACACACGACAACTTACAAGTCACGACAGCACTCAGAGCGGTCAGCAGCACTCAGAGTCTCAGAGTCTCAGACCAATCTCAGAGTCTCCAGTTAGCACTATTTACTCTGAACTCTCAGCAGTCTCATTTTATTATTTCCGATTTCGTGAACATTTATTATTATTTGTGAAAGTATGATAAAAGCTGAACGTTAAAAAAAGGAGCACCAAAATGTAATTTTTTTGTTTGTTTTTAAAAAATTATTAATTTCTCTTTACAAACACTTGCCTCAGCTACACACGCACACATGATGTGTGTGGGACTGAGGGTAGAGGGTCCAGGCCGGACTGCCGGTAATGGCACAGAAAGGTTTCCCCTGTCCCATAGTCCATCCTGTATTCCTGTTCACCTGTTGCATGTTGCTCCTATCTATCTAAAATTCTAGTTCAGGTATCAAGTTTCAACATTCATCCATGTTTCTTATCAACGTGGTGTCACACAGGGTCACAGACTCACGTGGTAAATACTCAATACAGTGCACACTGCGACACTGCACAGTGCAGGTACTGCAGGACTGCAGCTGCAGCCTTGTAGGTCGAGAGCCAAAGTTCCCACTTTCCCCCGGATATATATATTTTTATTTAAAAAATAAAAAAGATATTGGGCGGTGGGGCACAGCCCTGGAAGTTGGCTGCTAAATAGTAGAAGAGTAGTGCGGACTTCGTTTCCCAGGAAACTCGCATGTCAGACTCGTGAGTCATCTCCATTTTATAAAAAGCAGTTTCAAAATTACGTTAGACACAAAAAGATTTCAGCCAGCAGGCAGCAGCTAGTACTAGCGAAAAACATGCAATTCGAGACGTATTTTCAAAACAGTAAAAACATCCATACCAAGGTTTAGTTAAATCATAAATGATCAAACAGAAAACAAATCGTTCGTTCACCTTTTGTCCGACATTTTAAGATAGGGGTGACACCTTTGATGGCCCAGTTGTCTCTGCATTGCAATTTTCAAATGCGCGAGTGTCCCAACCTAAAGCAGCGAACTCATCGGAAAGACAATAATTTGTAAAGGCGACATAAGGCACACAACGATACCATCTCAAGCCAAACCTAGACTTCAGACCGAAAATTTCGATCGCAAAGCGCCAGCGCCAGCGCCGAAGACTGTGTCGCAACCATCAATTGCACGCACTATGCAATCACCGATGGCTATCACGACAGAAATGTCGCAACAAATCGACTTTTCGAATGTGCAAGGAGAAAAATCCAGCTTCTATGAAGTCTGCAAGTTGCGATATCGACATTTGAAGGATGTTCAGCGCGGGAGACGATATCGTAAGCTCCAATCGCGAATCCCCTCATACAGATCACCTTCAGGTAGAAGAAAGCCACTCGAAATAATATTGGAATCTTGTGATGTGACTCTCAGAATAGAAACACGGAGAATCAGCTTCAATGACCAGCTCCAGACAACAACAACATATTCCAAAAATGTATATGATCGTTCTCCGATTGCAACAGCGCACACGGAAAATCAATCTTTGCATTTGTACATGGATCTCGTCTGTTTTAAATTAACAGAAATGAAGTTGCACATGGACTCCGTCAATAGCATTAATCTTCACATGGCGAACACGGATCCGCAAGACCTGAATATAAGAAAGCAAATTATACACGACATACTAGCGGCTAATTGGGGCTCGTCTGACTTGTATTGAGATGCGTATCCCCGGGGACTGTATGCGAGTAAAATTTTCTGCTACGGTTAATTCCCTTTGCAAGTGAAAGTTTCAAAGGCATATTTGTAGTATAAGATTGAGCAACTTCTGAGCAAGTTATACTATCTTGTAGGCGAGAAGTTCGATATATTCCGTCCCTTTTTTATGGGTCTAGTCTAATTGCTCAGAATATAAATAGAAAGTAGCGTAGGAGCGAAATATAGTCTTCAATTGGCATTAGAACTCTAAGTAAAAGTCAAAATTATCTGTGAACCAATGTACTTCATAATATAGTCAGCCTCCGGTGTGAACTCCGTGTAATGATCGCAAATCGCAAGAATAAAAGTACTCTGACTATCAACGTATATTCTGAATCGAATCTGAGGCTTTTGAGTGTTCTGCGCTCATTTCAGTCGGTCTATATGCTATAAACATTTTTTGCTCGCATGTTTCGGCCACGTTGTATTCGAAAGACCATGACAGAAGAGAAAAAAGTATTTAAGACCGTCTGGGATATTTCAAATACTAATGACAAAGCGATGTATAATAAAGGAACATCCCTATCACAAGCAATAGTCATGCTTTCTATTGGTTTCACTGGGAACACATACACGGCAGATACGGAATGTCAAAATTGAATTGCTGTGCAGCATACGTAAAATCGATATTCTAGAATTACCGTGCAAGACATAATTTTATTATTGTTCACATCTGTGAGCTTTAAGTATGAACTTTATAGCATACCAATCTTAGCCAAAAGGCTAAGACGAACTATGCAGAAAAAGTTGCGATTCAGGCAATTTTTTTTATAGAGTATTGTGTCAATCTGCGTTTTATAAGCATACAGAGAGTCCCGGTCGTCAGGTAAGCAAGGTTTTGCCAATCCATTATTATGAACAGCATTGCGATGGAAACGCAACAAAACTCGCGATCACATATCCGTTGCAATACGCCACATAGGGTTTATGGTGTAGGTATCACCGATGTCCTGCGACCAGCATAGTATAAACCGAAGCTTTGTTTGAGATTATCCTCTTCATTTATAAGCCCCTATACTCGGGCATTTGTGCACAGTGCCTAGTCATGCGACCCGAGCAAGAAGTACAACAGCCATCTCGAAGAACTAACCCTCCAGACTCGACGGTTTTAGTTTGAACCGCTTCTCCGGCTTCTTCTGCATTAGATTATAGAGATACAGACATGTTGATAACCAAACATGGATAATGAAACACGAGCAAAGAAAAGTATTTAATAAACAATACTCCACTACACAATAGAGCGCAATGATAAAACAATATAGAGCTAAAGTGTTTTAGGGTTTAGACGTACTACACCATTAGACCACTTACCGCATTAGCCGCCTTCTTTTGTTGGTGCAACTGGAAGTGATTCTTGTGATTGCTGAACACGTTATTCTGCTTCGGACCCTTGACCTTCTTGGTTCTACCCTGATCTATTTCCGTGTCGTCCACTGTGTAGGACGATATGTGTTCGGACATGAACTCTCGCCTGTCTCTTATTGTGTCGACCGCGCTAGCCTTCTTCTCGTTAGCCCAAGTAGTTATTTGCCCACCGAAGCCTTCCGATGTGTTCTTGCGATTGATCACTCGATTCAACTCATTTTCCTTCGCAATATTGCGGTGACCATCAAATACTAGACCATTATCGCGCTTCGTCTTCTTTGGTTTTGCAACCAAAGCCAAATCGTCTTTCAGATCGCCATCCCATTCTTTTACTACGACATTCTTCGGCCTCTTATTGCTCGACGGTATCGCATGCAGTAGAGCAGCAGGCCCGGTACGCTTCCTAGACACAGGCGTGAGTTCACTCTTCTGAAATTTGCTCTCATGAGCTTTGGCGGGCGTGCCCCCATTTACCTTATCGACATGCCATCCATTAACTAATTTATGTTTCTTACCACTACTCTCTCCCTTTCTAATATGCTCGACATTGTCTAAGTCGGATATATTTCCCGTATCATGCACGGTGTCCGAACCAGTACCATTCTTCACGCCAGCCGCGACGTTCGAGTCGTAAGCCAAAGTCATGTCCGTGCTAGCACTTGCAATCAAACTAGCCGCAAAAGTGTCTGCGAATGAACCAGCCTTCGAATCCACAATAACCTCAACAACTGGACTGGCGCTAATAAGACCTCCACTGGCGGCCGCACGCCTCGCCTTTTTCCTCTCTGCTTTTAACTGCCTTCTTTTGGCCTTCTTTGCAATATAGTCCACACTTCTCGCGCCTGAGATGTCAAATGAACGCCTGCTATCTGTGGGATTGCTTGAACTACTGACTGAGTCTTGATTACTACTCACAAGCGCGGCCAGCGATAATTCCACTGAATTGGCCTCGGATTTGCGGAAAGCTACATGCATATCAGCGTCCAAACTTATCTTTCTATTTACACTATCCTGCTTATCTACCATCTCCTCATTGCTTGCGGATGCTACGCTCTCTCCGGCCTTTTTTGTGCCATCTCTCTCGTCCCCCACCCTTACATAGAACAACATATACGCATCCTGTTGTAAAACCGTCTTCAACGACACTTTACGGGCAACTTCGTCATCCATTTCGTACCACACACCATTCGCTGCTTTAACAAAACAGTAGTAGTGCCCGGATCGAGTGGAATACCCCGCGTGTACCATGACTGACATCAACTGATATTTATATACTGTTTTCTCGTCTGTCGACTTCTCGTCATCGAAGGTTTCACTCATATATGGAAATAGATCCAGGTATTCCGAGAAAGGCACGTGGCCACGCACTTTACCGCCTTGCCAATCGAACCGCTTAAGGTGTACACTCAGAACTTTGGGCGCTCTGTGCACTGTCATGCGCTTAACTGCATTCACCTTCTTATTACAGCGTACACATTTGTACTGATTGTCCTTCTCTAGCACTTCTTTCTGCGTGAACTTCGCTAAAGACTTCGTAAGTGATCTCGCATTCTTGATATCCAGGCTCAGCTCGAGCGATTCTTCGTATGTATTAGACTGATAATGGCATGTGGCACATTTCACTTGACTGCGAGTGTATCCGCCAAATACCTGATGTATCAAAGTAGTAGCTTTGATTTTGCTATCCATCTTCTTATCAAAACCATCAAGACATGAATCCTGCATAGCATCGACAAATAACCGAAGAAACTCATGTGCGTCTTCCTGCCGACCTTTACGGAAGTGTTTGGCCCAGACCTGAATAATTAAGTAGAAACAACAAAGAAGTCGGTTTATGGAGCTATCAAAAGCAAATAAGTACGAGAAAATCAATATTTTACAGAGTAGGATGTGCGTTGATAACGGGGATAGTTCGATTATACGAATTCATTGTTATGTATCGGTGCGGACTGACAGGGTGGCAATAGAGCGGTACCAAGCGCACGAATGACACGACAAAAAACTTGCCATGGATGTGTCACGCGTACGCAAGGACCTGCAACACTCCGCTAATTTATGCAAAAGAATATTAATCTCCCCACGAGTCGCGAGTTAAGGTGGTGACTGTATCCGACGAACAGAGCCACTCCCACATATCAATACAAATGAATACAACAGGCACGAAACCTCTTGTAATTCATCCATAAAGTAGCAAAAATGGATCTAACAGATGTCACCTTAACAATGAACTCTATGGGTATAAACTATCATCCATTCGGCTCTTCCGAGGCCAAAATAGAAATTTAATTAACAAGACAAAATCAAGGTCAATACCATATCACTGGCCGTGCTGCAATATCTGAGCGCTAGTTGACCTCAGAGCAGAGAACAAAAATGGTGTTGAGAATGACAAGTGTTGAACATACACCCTTTGAACATAACGACAAAGAACACTTCACACATATGCGATAAGCCTGTATAGGTACGACTCACCTTGAGATTATTAACGATCTTCTTAGGATATACACTGGAGTGCTTGGTAGTGAAGGCGATCTTCACATGAGCCTCCATTTCACACATGGCGCATGCTGTCCTCTGTGATCGGCAATTCCGCACATGTTCACCAGACATCAAATAGTTAGCCAACGGTGGGGTGTGCGTAAGACACTGCAGCACCGAGTTCAGAAAACACGTGTTACTGTTGTTGCCAAGACCACACCCAGCCTTCTGAACACTCCTCCATCTCATCGTCTGATTAACTTTAGCTGGCGGATACAACACTCTTGCTGGCTCGGCAAGTTGTTCCCCCAAAAGCGGGTCTACAGGCTTGCTCGAGGCCGTAGCAAGGCCTTCCTCTGATTTGTTTACTTTGGGTACATTTTCAGATTTGATTTCATCACGATAACCATGCTTCTCGATAATATTTAGAGGTTTGTATGAAGTATTTTCAATCGAGGTGGAACACGCCCACACGGCCTTCTTGAAAGTGATCCGGCGATCGTATTCTTCGTAGTTTTTGCCAAGATCAGTATCAATTCGGTCTTGAAGTGCTGTCGAAGCAGAACTAGTAGCAGAGGGTGGGTGTGCGATTAACATGGACATCTTGGTATACAAGAGATATGCCCAGTTCCACAGCTTGTATATCTTGGCTGATCGATTTTCGTCTGAGAAAAGTACCGTATGCCAGGACTACTCCTACAAGTTTCTGTCGATTAATTTGACTATGCTACCTGAATTTTCAGTGCATAGTTACCAAACACTACTATTTGTTAGGTCAACTGAGGAGAAGCATTCACACTGCTCACAGAAACTAGTTTGTCGTGATGCCTGTAAAGTAAGCCAGCAGAGACTAGAGTGGATGGAAGCATTGTATATACATCCATGACACGTGTGAGATTTATTTTTGTACATATGTATGTATTGAACAAAGCCCACCGCGGCACAACCCCACAGACCACAGAGCATGGGACCACAGGCCCACAGCCTCCACAGGCCACAGGGCAGTGAGGGCACAGGCCCACACTCAACAACAATTTTTACGTCTTTTAGGCCCTATGGGAAACTGGTAAATGGCGGGGCAAAAAATCCCCCAAATACACTGTGACAGTCATTGCAAGTGCAGTGTCCGCTGTCCGCAGTGTGTAAAATATTATTACTAATAAGGGCCGGTGAGATGCACGCAGCACAGCGCCAGCGGTAAATAGAACCATGTTCTTCGTCCGCGTCGGCTCACTCTCAGCCGAGGGGCGTAAATAGGCCCGTATTCCCGTAGTGTGTGCGGACAGTTGAATAAATAAATAGCCCCGAAAATAACCGTTGAATTGTTTTTGGAGATTGGAGCTGTCCCCGATTTATCCAATTCCGAAAAGTTTTCAAAAACAACAAGTTTGACATACATATGTACTATGTATTTAATTAATAGTTTTTCTAAAAAATAAATAGATACATAAATATGGTCTTCATTCCCGCCACTCCCCACCAGTGGCAGACCCCCTGCTGTCTCTCCCCCACCAGTAAATATAATATGCCACATGTTTTTTATTTACACGGCAGTACTGCACTGGGTTACAGAACGTATAATTTTTAACATAAAAATAGAATTTGTCGGTTTGTTTTTTTATAATATTTTCTATTTTGTTTTTTTAACTCGGGGTTTAGCTAAACATGTACCATATGGTAGCCAATTTCTATTTTATAACTTGTCCAATATTCAACCTTAGGGCTTATAGTCCTACCATGTTCAATACATCAAATTTCCTGACCAACCACATTTGTCCTTTGATACGTAACACTAACGGCATATGTAAGCTCGCTCATACCGTGCGAGACCCATCACGACAGAATATATTGAATCTGAAATCGGTTACTAAAATATTATAACAGTTTTTTGATTGATCTAGAAAATTCAAAATTGATGATTTTCGGAAAAAGTACATCATTTGATTCAAAATGTGCAAAAACCACCTAGATGAAACAAATTGGGAACGGTGATATATATGATATCTGACACATACAGCCAATCAAAAGAAAGATGTATTCATTGGAATGTCATATTCATTGCCTACAACTTTCCGCTTGTCCAACGGATGCATAGCGGAAGAGTTCTAAAAATAGATTTGGCTTAAATCGACCTAACCCAGAGGGTTTTTTAAAAATAAACTTGTGAAACATGACCCGCTTGGCGGAGTGAGCAGCTCGGTACATACTGGCCACCTATCGGTATTTATTTGAATTTTGTCGTAATTTGTGTCTATCATCTATCAAGATTCAAGAAGGCTATATCATTTGTCACGGCGTACTGGATTTGGGTGTGCCCAAAAATTACGATTGTCGTTGGAAGAAACCTGATTTCTGCTCGAGGCCCAAATCCAGAGGGCTATGAATTTGCTGTACCGAACTGATATTCATAGTTCCAGTAAATGAAACTGACGGTTTTCACTCATGCATCTTTCCCATCACAGCGACGACGGGGACACTAGAAAAATAGAAGTAAATAAATACACGAGTCAACTTTTTGCATGGCCTTCTAGTTTTTTTTAAAAGCAAAAGAAAAAATAAGCTATGCTTTTAGGTAGAATCAGCAATCCAGCTGATTTTGTACCGAATTGATATTCATAGTTCTGGCAAATGGCACTGACGGTTTTCGCTAACTTTCCCATCAAAGCGACAGGGACACTAAAAAAAATAAAAATACAACACCGCTGACGTCGGAGGGGAAATAAAATCTGAAACGAGGGGGAAATATTAGCCTTTATTTTTGGGGTTTCGTACCCTTATTTGTTTTGCGAAATCGCGCCCCATGATGGTTAAACTGCAACTTCAATTTTGGTTCACGTTTGGGTCCAGGTTTCCAAATTCTTTTTGGTTGTTTGGGGGGGTGTTCGACGTTCGTTTTCTTTACGTTGATTTTTAATTTTGGGGTTTCGTACCCTTGTTTCTTTTGGGAATGCGCGCCCCTTGGTTTTAAAGGTGCAACTTAAATTTTGGTTCACGTTTTGGCCCAGATTTCCAAAATAAAATAAAATGTTGTTGTTGTTGGGAGGGGGCGAAGCCCCCAATATGTAACCGTATTTCTTCTACTGCTGGTATCACATCGTGTTTCTTGAATTGGGCTTTTCTATACTCATGTACAGGGTCTCAAATGGAGTTCCTAATAGCTAAAGCTTTTAGTGATTAATACACGTTTGGTAGAATCATCAGTCCAGCTGAACACAAAAACACAAAAATTAAAGACAATCAGAAACGCTAAAACAATTGCCAACTAACAGGGCTTTTCGAAGCCAATGGAATCACTTTTCTTAAACGCACTTGTTAACGGTCAACAAATTTTCATGTTCAAACTTCGAGCTTGTCAATGTTTACTATGCAAATTTGAAAATATACCCTACACCCTTCACAGTGTATCCTTATACCCTGCGTGGGAAAATCCCCCCCCCCCAAAAACAAAGACAAAGAAATAATTATGTATTTTTTTAGAGGGCTATATATCATAGCAATGTAAAAAAAAGTCTTGAAGATCGAGCCATAAATAACTATTTAGGGCCCAACTGCCCAAGCCCTAAATCTTTTGAGTTTTTGAGATTTACAGTATGTTCTTATAAGGCTACGGGATGTCCTAAATACGTTATTAGTCCGTTGTGGCAATTTCTTTTTTCTCTACTATCTCTAGCTTGAGAGAGAGAGAGAGAGTCATGATGGGATTTCAACCTTTCGTATCGGAGCGCACCATATGACAGCTTACGTACTCCAAATTGCCCATAAAGTCAGGTCAGGACATGTGTATGTCTATATTTAGAAAATTAAACATTTTACGTGGGATCCTTGTTCTTTTTTTAGGAGGCTATGGATCCATTGTTTTTAAAAAAAACCCCAAAATATTTAAAATACACTCATCAAACACATCACTGATCACTGTATTTATAAATATTCTTACCTACTACGAAATATTTTGGTTTGCAGAGACTGTACGAATTTATATATATAAAAAGGCCAGCTTAAAAAACAACCCGCTACAAGACTCGCAAAAAATGGCCTTTGGGCCCCTTCCTTTTTTTCCTTCCTCTAACTTCGTTTTTGTAAATATATTATTGTTTTGTTAAAAAACAAAAAAACAACAAAAAGCACTAAATCTGAGGGCCGAGGCACTACAGTGCGTAAATACTACACCGCTACACGGCTAAATACACGTGGGCTACTTTGTTTTAGGCCCTTGGATTTTTTATTTTATTCGTACATGCTCATTTTTATAAACCCAACAATATAATTCTGGCTAACTATGTTGTATGTCGACCTGAAATATCCGATGTCGTAAACAATTTGAAAAAAATTCGAGCCCTGGACCATAGAATCCTAAATTGTAAATACACCTAGACCTATGTTACAGTCCCAAATTGGTAAATTCAAACATTTTTTTTGTATATTGGAAACTAGGGCAAAACTAGGGTTTGATGTCGAATTTTACAATTATAAAAATCCCCCGGCCCCTGCCCTTGTAATTTGGGCCCTTAATAAACCCTAAAACAAAGTTCATAGCTGATAGCACACACGTGACTCGTGAGCTAAGGCCTATGCTCCTAACATTATGGGGGTACGGGATAGAAATTGAACGTAAACGCATATTTTAATATTCAATTCTATATTTTTATAGCGGTTGATCAAAAGAGCCTACCCAAATTCTTTTATATGACTAGTTCATATGTTAAAAATAGTACACACCTGAATTTGTAGACCCGCACAGTGTACCTATGAGCATACGAAGGACCGCATATGGTATTGAAGATGAACGCAAACGTATATTTATTCGATTTATATAAGTTTGAAAAAATGGAAAACGGTTTGAGATTAGCTCGGGAGGCGTGACTCGTGGGTCGTGACTCTGAGTCGTGACTCGTGAGTCTATTGACCCGATCCGCAATATATATCTATATCTATATAAATCAATCTTGAAGAAGGAGTAACAAGGATTAGAAGTTTGGAAAGATTACGAATCTACTTGAGATTGATGGTTTAAAAAAATACGTATATATATAAAACGTAATCCAATAAAAAAGTGAGTTGATATACAAGTTTTTAAAAAAGCGTATGTTTAAAATAAGAGCTATATATATATATATAAATAGGAACATGTGAATTTGAATGCATATATCCTGTTGGTGTGTATTTGCGTATTTTTTAGTAAATAAAAACAAGGTAAAAGCTGTATTAAAGAATACTGGTGATCAGTAAAAAAATATATTTAGTGTATTTGTTTAAAAAAAAAGGTATGTGTTCAATTGTGTTGTTGTGTTTTGTTTTTGTTTTGTATTTTTATTTTTTACTCTATCCTGTAAAAAACAAAAAGTACGCACAATCAGTCAAACCTCAATTTTTTTTGTCTATTTATCTCTTTGTTTGTCCACGCTTGTATATTGTGACTCGAAACTTTTTACCAGATTACATATGAATTCACGAGTGCTGCGTGGGCTTCTCTATACTCTCACAAAAAAAGTGGATTACAGTAGCAAGTATTTTATGATCACCTATAAATGAACTACAATACAATGTATATAAGAATAGAGGTAATACTTGCGTGTTGGGTGTGAGCGGCCGTTGTTCTGGAGGCAGGAATATATGGAGTCAGGGATCTTGCCTTCCAAGAGACCGCCAGCAACTGAGCCAAAAATTACGCCATCAGTTGTGTGAACCACAAATTAGATCACAGTCGATGTTTGAAGGCTTAAAAATAAGCAGCATTTGATGCATGTATGTACGTTACTGTACTTATAGTGTACTAGTGTATGTAACTTGGTATATTCCTCTCTCAGGAGAGAGAGAGAGTGAGTGAGGTAAATACAGGGCCACAGCTCCCTACTTGACTAATAGGGTCGGACAACAGAAATATAGGCATTTTGAAGCCGGAACTCGCAAACATAAAATCTGAAAACCCTAAACCCAAAACACATGCTATAGTAGTTTTGACTGCAATTCATAATAGATAATAACATATGTTTTGCACGCGTATACGCACCTCTCGTCATTACACTAGTAGAACTTTACTTAGGGATACAAGAATAGAAAGCGTGATTGAAAGCGCGATAGTTGAATCAAATTATGCCACTCTATAACTTTGCGTATGGTTCTGCCGTAGGCCCAGGGAAAAGTCTACTATGCTTCCAGATCAACGATTCAAACAAAAAGTGTTTAGCATTGATGGAATATCGTCTCTGAGTTGTATAGACTTGCTAAAGTATCTTTATCTATGCTAGGCAGCACTCTTTTTAACCAACGTCGACGTTTGTCAGGCGCTCTGGATCGCTTGGGTAGATTGAAGTAATGATCTACAAGTTTTATGCATCGATGTTGTTGCATGGATCCTTCGAACATAAACAAACTCTACGCACTGAAGCCGGACTTTTGAACCCCTCACTGATTCGGCGACGAACGTTTGTACTACTTCCACTCGTTGTTGTTTATCGAATGGCCTATTACACGGTAAAGTATGTTAATTTGTACGCCGATATTACGCGTGTGTGAACCAAATAGTTTGTTTGTTTATATGATTTATAGCCAACCGTACCATGAGATGTGTGCAGGGTTTAGGGTTTTACTGAATTCGGGTAGATACGTTCCGGCTTCAAAATGCCTATTTATTTTGATGTCCGACCCTATTCTTGTCCACCGCTCCTTTTGTGCAAATTGTGGCCTGAAACTGACCCTGGAAGTAAAGTTGTTTCGTTTTTGAAAAATAGGGCAGGCATCGATTCATAGCCTTTGGCTTTATCAAATTTATTTTTAGAGAAGGCTATTTTTTTCAGGTCGAACAACTAGCACCGATCGTTTGTTTTTATTTTGTTAGAAAAACAATATGGCTAAATATGCATAGCCTTCTGAATGTTTGATTTCAGAAGGCTATGAAATATGTATGCATATATTTTTAAAATTTAAATTTGCATGCGCTTGGTCCTCTGGATAAATGCTGGCTTCCTCCCCGAGACTCAAACCAGAGGACTATGGCGCTATGTGCTCTGTTCGGTCGAAGATGTCGGGAACACGGGAATCGGGGAATTTCTCTTTCCTTTTTGCGAGATTGGTACATATTTGCGAGATTCCTATTTTTAAAAACCTTTGTGCGTGACTGTGTGCGCGACAAGTCAGACTGCCAAAGAGTAAATACTGAACTGCTGAAGGGATGCCGCCTAATTTTTAACTTTCCTTTTTGGTCTGCTGTTTGATTTTGGTAAACATACAGTATTTACGTAAATATTTATTTCTAGAGAATCTCTTGTTGCTGCTAATTTATAACTTTCCTTTTTGGTCTGCTGTTTGATTTTGGTAAATATACAGTATTTACGTAGATATTTATTTCTAGAGAATCTCTTGTTGCTGTCAGTGACTCTTGTAAACTATATTTTATGTTTTATTTTTATTGTTTAAAAAAAAATAGTTGTTCAATTTAGGAGTCTGTATTTTTAAAAATAACCAAAAGTTATTTTTTAAAATCAAAACAAAATCCTTTTTAAGACTTTGTTTTAGTTTGGTTTGCTTTTTTTATTTTAAAACATATTATTAAAAAAAATGAAGATAATAAAATTAATAATATCAAATATACATCCGAGCAAAAATTACCTAAAAAACAAAAATAAGACGAAAAACATAGCCGGCATAATATTCTGCGTAAAATAAAAGAATACATGTATCAACATTCAACAGTCGAATGCCAAATTTTTGCTCGCCAATATATACACGGTCCAATAAATTTGAAAATTCTTCATGTTGTTTTTCATTGGGTCGAGTCCCGACATGCGGCATGGGGCCGGGGGCCGGCAACTTCACTCTATTTATGTAACGTTACGTGACTGAAATGTGCATTGCGCACCGGCACAGGCCACAGCCGCACAGCGCCACTGTGGCACAGCCTCACTCACACTGTCAGCAGTCAGAGTGTCAGGGTATTTATTTCCAGAATCTGGAAATTGTGAGACTAGAGAGACACACCGTGTCGAACAGTCGAACAGTCGAACTGGCGACCTGGGCGGCTGGGCTGTCGTCTGTCGTCTGTGATATTTTTCCAATTCTGATGACTCTTCTTACCCGAGTAATTATTGTCTTATGTCCAATAGATCAGAGACGAATTGAATACATCAAAAGTTTAAACATATATAATTGGTAATCTGAACAATAGTAGTATCGCCTGCGATATGTGCACGAATACTAGTCGATTATTAGTACACTATTCGCCACTATATACGCTAATATCGTCATTGATTAGGCCGAGAGATAGAAAGGCTTTTTAGCATGTGTAAAGTTATATTTATAAATTTAGCCTTCGCGAGCCGGTAGTTCTATTTATAAATATAGCCTTAGCGGGCGGGTCTATATTTAGAATACGAATAGGAAGTGAAAGGGTGCCGTGTTCACAGTTCATCAGGACATCAGTACCTGCCCGGGTTCCGGTTTGCCGTTTTTTATTGATTTGGAATGTGAAGCTTAAAATCCGTCCAAACTCCAAAACCCAAATCCGTCTCGTATAATTATTTTTTTGTGGTTTGTACGATTTTTGACATCGCCTTCTAAAATTAGACGGTTTTGAGAGGTGTGATAATTGAGAGTTCATTTTTAATTGTAAACAAGTAAATATATAAAGTAGCACGAGACAACTCTGTAGGCCAGATCGTACAAACCGCAGGAGACTTTCGTATTAATTGGTACAATGTCTCTAGCTTTCACAGCTACCCGCGCTCTACGGGTATGTATTGGTCAGAGTTAATTTCACTATCGTGAAACCTCAAGTAGTAATAGTGCTATGGTGAAACTCAATTCAGTGCATATGAAAATTGCTGTATACAGATTTTGCTTTTATTGTAGTGTAGTTTCGAGGTTTTCAAGGTCAGAAGACTCATTCCACCCGCCATATATATACTTGTCATAATGAGTTCACTGATTAACTTTTGGATCACTTTTGGAGCCACACTAATCAGACTATTATACCATGCGCTTTTTAGGCTTCAAAATGGCAGTCAACGTTAAGGACAGCTGCCGCTGCCGTCGTAACCCGTCAAGGTCTTCGTAACTACTCCTCATCGGTGAGTCCCGTGTTTTCCGATTGTATGTATGCATTTATATACGCATGTTGTTTTCTTCTGACCCCAAATAGTGGTTTATGTGGACGAGATTTTGTGCATCGGTGTTGTCAAATGCAACGCTGATAGGGTTCGTTTCTATATCTCCTTATAAAGACGGGTAATATTTACGTAACCTATATGAGTTCTGATTTCATTAATTCGAATTAACTATAACCGAAATTGTGTCATTAATGTATGTACTAGATGCTCAGGTTTTCTACGACATTGGAGAAATGACATAATCACTGTGTTCGAATTTATGTAGTTCACGCTTCAAAAAAGTTGTGTACGCACTACTGGTTTATTAATTGTTCGTATACATCGTCCTTGTAATATTTTTGCTCAGATTTTCACTTTTCGTACATGGAAGTAGGTCATTTCTAGGCTTTAATAGCATCTTTTTCAATGTGATCTTTCAATAGAACGGCCTCGAACCTCTGTACGACCGACTTCACGAGATTCTGCCAAAGCACGCCCAGGATGTCAAAGAGTTCCGTGCAGCACACGGAGGAGATACTCTAGGTATATTAACCGTTGATATGGCATACGGAGGTATGCGTGGTATCAAGGGTATGGTAACCGAGACCTCTGTCCTGGACGCAGACGAAGGTATCCGGTACCAGGGTCACACACTTATGGAGCTACAAGAAACCCTTCCTCGCGGCCCGGGAGGACAAGAACCTTTGGCCGAAGGCGCTTTGTGGCTACTGTTGACTGGGGAACTACCTACCCAGGAACAAACCACTCTGTTGTCGAAGGAGCTAGCTCGCCGCGCAGAACTACCTCACCATGTGGTGCAGATGATTAACAACTTCCCCGCAGAGTTGCACCCTATGGCCCAGTTGTCCGCTGCGACCACCGCCCTGCACTCAGAGTCCAAGTTTGCCAAAGCATACGCCTCTGGTGTCCCCAAGAGCAAGTACTGGGAACTCACTTTAGAAGATAGTATCGATCTTATCGCCAAACTGCCAGTGATCGCGTCTATGATCTACCGTAACGTGTTCCACGACGGTCGCACCGTAGGTACAATAGATCCGGACAAAGATATGGGAGCCAACTTCGCCAGTATGTTGGGTTTCTCTGATGAGGGTTTCATTGATCTACTGCGTCTGTATCTTGTCATCCACGCCGACCACGAGGGAGGTAACGTGAGTGCACACACAACACATTTGGTAGGAAGTGCGCTTTCCGATCCATACTTGGCTTATGGAGCTGCTTTGAACGGTCTTGCCGGCCCCTTGCACGGTCTTGCTAACCAGGAGGTGCTTAGTTGGTTGACCAAGTTCAAGACTAGGTTGGGAGAGGGGGACGATTGGCACGCAAACGTATGTGAATATTTCGTACCTTGTTTCTTGTTACGTTCTGTTTGATTTTTCTCGACAGTGGAGTGTCGTTGATGCAGCGTCAAGCCTGCTTTTTGAAGGCAGATACTGGCCTCTACTGCGAAATAATAGCATATGTTTTGCAATTAGTTGAACTGAATGTTAGCGAGCACTGCGTATTTTATGTTCTGGGCTCATTAGTCTTGTTTTCACTTCTGTACTTCGCATAATTAGTGCTCAACTGTTTGAACGTTTGTCAGTTTTACTCAATTTTATGTTTTGCTTCTTTCTCCTTGATACAGTTGACCAAGCAGCGCATTTCGGACGAGGTCTGGAACACCCTCAACTCAGGCCAGGTTATCCCTGGATATGGTCACGCTGTCCTAAGAAAGACGGATCCTCGTTACACTTGTCAACGCGATTTCGCTCTGAAGCACTTGCCTGATTCCGATGACTTCAAGCTTGTCTCCATGCTTTACGAAGTGGTTCCTGACATTCTTCTGGAACACGGAAAGTCCAAGAACCCCTGGCCCAATGTAGACGCGCACTCTGGTATCTTGCTGCAACACTACGGCTTGACTGAGATGAACTTCTACACCGTGCTATTCGGTGTGTCGCGCGCAATTGGTGTACTTCCATCGCTTGTATGGAGTCGTTCTATGGGTCTACCCCTCGAGCGTCCCAAGAGTATGAGCACTCCTGGACTTAAGGCATTCGTCGCCGCGGCTAGAAGCGAACTAAAGGAGAAGCAGCAAAGATCGAAGTACGTATAAATAGTTCGGGCTGACTTGCCACCGCAAACGGCATGTCTACTGTACTCCTGCAGCGCAACTGCTCTTGTCCGCGTGTGTGCACGGTACATGGAGGAACAACTGCGCTGTACAACTAGACATGGACTTCAATTAACACGTCGTATGCATCATTATAAAATACGATATACACGATTCAAAAGTTGGGGCAAGCTGTGACAATTGAGGAGTTTGCTTGCGATCAAAAAACGTATCTCATAATTGAATAGTGTAGAACGAATGCGAGTGATTCTGGGAGATTCGCATGGTTCTTTTGATGCTATTGTTCCGGCAGTGCGTGCCTATAAGTTGGCTTCGTAAGTAGTAAATCCAGCCTTCTTAGGTACGTATTGTGTCATCTACAAATGAGTAAAGTATAAGTGCCTTGTGATGGTCGTTACGAGTATATGCTGTATATTAGATTCGTGTGTTTTTTTCTTAAACTTAAGCCATATATTTAAAAGCTATAATCACGCCAAACTAACATTAAAATCTTTCGGGGGTTCATCAATATTGCACGAGTGTCCCTATAGGTTATACTACGCAAGCAGACATTATTGGGACTATAGTCGTATTGTTAATGCTGTCTATAGATACAAGGTGTCTGCATGCCTCGCGCCTTTTATTGTACTACTTCACCAAACCGTCACCGAACTCCTGACGATAGTACGACATATCCACGGATCGCTGTGCATTCCACAAAAGAATTGTGCTAGAATCTGTATTCTTTTGTTTGTAGTCAACTTTTTATAATGAACACTCGCCTTGTGACTGATCAATCCACAATCGTATGGCCGTATTAATATGGGTTGATATATATTTATATACATACATACATATATATATATGTATATATATATATATATATATACATATATATTGTGTATGTTTGTTGTACATATATACATATATACATGTGTATATAT